ATTTGTTACCTAGTGATATTCTTAAATCTTCGTATTATTCCTACCAAGTCATTTACCTCAAGGTCTCTTACAAATTTTACTATTCACATTCAGGAAGGTTCATTTTAAATCATACCAATGAATATCCAAAAAATGGCAGTGTTTCTTTTTAAATCAGAGTTTGAGAAAGAGCATCATTTCTGGTATGAGTTAAGTAAATGCAGCTGCAGACCGACTGCAAAATTAACAAAGTCATATTGCTTTCTAGTTCTTTAAACCTGGTACTTTCCTGTATCTCTCTGCTTCATCCCCTCTTCACCTCTTTTTAAAATCTCATTGGGAAACTAATTTCCCAATTTCTGCTGCTCAGTTATTCTCTGTCTTTTGTTTATTAAGTTGTGTAACTACCCTATTCAGCTCTCAATAATACAGGAGTGAGATTCATAGAGGAAAAACCAGATCTGACATCCCGTCTTTCCTGTCCACTCACTGTTGTATAGAGGTGGGTTAATATTTTTTCTGTGGAAACTGCCTATGAGTTGTAAACTGAGTCAACACAATGAAGTATTTTGTCAAAAAGATTTGGCTTTAATGTAAATTGCACCAAAAGACAAGGGAGCAAAGAAACAGCCAGCCCCTCCACCCTATTTCCTGCTCCAAAAGATATTTATTTGGAGATGCCATTGCAGTGCCTTAGGAAACTGCTAGGGTATGTCCTATAAAATCTCTTATCTCTTTTCTATACTTCAGTTTCCTCAGCTAATTATATATTATTTTGTGCATTACAGAAATTATAATCCAGCTAGAGTATTTGGGCCCTAGAGGAGAACTTAAGCTTAATACATACGGTGAGTATACAGCCTGGTATGCTTAATACCGCTCTCAGGGAGCAAGATGCCTTTAATTTTTTATGTTTAACTTGGAGGCTTTGGGTGGAAAAGGAAAAAGAGAGGAATAAGCCTTTTCCAGGTCAACTGTACAGCCAGGAGTGCAGCTGGTATGGTTTATATCTCCTGGGTACTGTGCTTCCTTTCCCACGAGGGAATTCTTACAGAAGGACTCAGCTCCACTACAAGACTGTGACAAGGCTGGGTCTTCTTATCCAACTCCTCCATCCAACTGGGACGTGCAACCTCTTTGGTGCAAGCTAAATAGATTATGATGCTCTGGAACCCTTCAAAAAGTAAAAGCTTTCGTCAGTGTCTGAGTAATAGTTTTAAAGTCTAAAGGAAACATTGATTGCTGTTAGCGAGGACAGAGAGATTATACTGATATTTGGAGTTTGATTTTGGAAGGGAAAGACAACAGTGCGTATGAAAGATGTTTTTCTTTTAAAAGAAGTACCACGCTGTCTGTGAAAGATGCTAAGAGGTTATGAAATGGAATGGACAGATAACAGACTGTAGAATAGGACAGACATACTGTATCAACAGATATAATTTGCAGACTTTTACTATCTGCGAAGACTGCAGAGATAGTCTATCTAAAAATTGTCAGAGTAGGTTTTGATCTCTAGGGTTAAACATTTAATGGATTTTTTGTATATCCCTGTAGAGACTCACTTTCATCTAAGGTGACAAATGTTACAAACTATACTGTATAGTTTTCAGAATGATTCATAAGCTACTAGAAATAAGATGTGTCAATTTACCAGGCCTGAACATACAACATTACTTCAGGATAATGAAGTCTATCTCCTATTATATCACATAACTATTCAAGCAATAGAAAACTTTTTGTCTTTACTGTAACAGAAACTCATGGCATCTTGGACTGAATTTCCAGGAATCTTTTTCCCACCGCACACCAAGACAGTTTTCTAATTATGTCTTAGGTCAGTTTGTGTTCACTGCATAGTTGGCTGAAAAGCTGCAGAACAGAATGACCCCTTTTCAACCAACCATATAAACATATATTAGTGTATTTCTAAATAAAAAAGTAAAAACGTGTAGGATACCTATAGAGTTGGCTCAGAATGAAGGTTTAATATTTTCTCAGAAATTTTTTTTAGGATTGATAAAAAGGTAAATAATATTTTGTTAATTGAAGTTATGATTCTGAATATTCTTGCAGCAATTCACTGGATTAACAGAAGTCATAAGGAAGAAGGTGCTTTAAAGCACAGCTAAATTAGTGATCTGTTTTATTACAATTTTAAATTAATGCATTTGTTCTCTATACTTGGACCTTATTGAAAGCCTTCTATAACTTTCAGAAAATCTTGGGAGCACGTGATAAGAAATGACTTCCATTTATGAGCTTCAGAAATCCTGCTGGTTATAATTAAAGGTATATATAAACATACAACTAAATGCAGTGCTCCCCTGGAGTCCCAAATGCCTTCCTGATAACTTTGCAAGTGTCATGGAGGAAACTTACATGAAATAGAAGTTTGTATTTATAACATTTTACAGTTGTGCAGAGTTTTCAGGGTTTCACACAGCTGAGAAACTGATACAACCATTTGAAACTGGGATACTGAGTGTTTCTATTTGATGGAGACGTTCTCTTTTCTGTACTGTATGTAAGAACAAAACCTCTTTTCTTTTCAACACAATTGGCAGGCAAAAAGGGACCTCTGATAGGAACAGGTTAAGCATGCACTGCAAAGTTTGTTTTGTTTAACTGATTAATTAGTGTGTATATCACTATCTAAGGCAGTATCAGTATTCTGCGTTTTTATTGTCTCCTTAAGATCTTAAGAAAATGTCTGAACCTTTTGTACTTCCGTGTTCTTAAAGTAGAGGGATGTCGTTCTACTGGAGTTCTCTCCAGTAGAGGGACGTCTTTGCAGTAAGTTCACACTAAATCCAGTACGCAATTATTTCACGTTTATCACATTTCTTGTAGGTTTGCAACACCAATACTATTGTCATGGTTGCTGAGAATATGAATGCTGATATTTCTCTCTTTGAGGGTCTCTGGGAAGCCTGAAAGATTACAGTTTCTCTTGCTGTATTGCTCTCCAATATTACACAAACCGCTACTTGATATGCAGAGTTTCAAGGTGAAGAAGAATTAATTTACTGAAGCTCATGTTAATATCTTCTGGCTTTGAGGCAGGAACCGTCCCTCCTTTTTTTCAGTAAACGAATCCCATTTGCATTTGGCCGCTATACCACTGATATATCTGTAAGGAACTTGTCTTCAGTGCTACAAAAACATCATTGAAGTGGTATGCAATCACATTTTTTTATCTTAAGATCGCAGAAGAGCAGAGTGTTTTGCAGTGCCCGATGATCAGTCTCTCTGCTCTAGAATCTGGTCTATAGGAAAGTTCTGGGCGTCTTAAAAATCTGCCATATACATACACCTCTGCTCAAATAGTGACCGTCTTACTGTTCGCCTCTTATTCTGCCTATTACATGGCATCGCCAGAGAGCGTGCCTGTTCTAACAAAAGGTGTATTCAGGAGCTTGGCATTCAGTTCAGTCAGTGGCTTAGGGAGAAAATAACCCCTGTGGAACAGTACTAGAGTATGCCAGCAGTGCATTTATCTCCCCACAGCTAACAGAGAAGAAAAGATTGCAGTTAAAAGATAACCCTTACGCATTATAAGAGGCGGAAGAAAGAAAACGGTTCTTTTCTGGGAGAAACAGATAGGATTAGTGTGAATCATCTATACCCAGTAGGCCACGAGGTCTGTGAATCTAGTCCTGCTGCGTAACACACAACACTTAGCAATACATAGCCCTCTAAGGAGGGCTATTTGCCAAGTCATTCAGTACCGACCTTGGCAGACAATCCATTGATAAAAGATTCTGATAAATGTAAACTTGATAATTTAACATCCTTATGAATGTTTTGGTAGGTTGCTCTTTCCATCTTTCCCATCCAACTGAATGAATCTCACTGTTTCTCTTTTTAATTCATCTGACTATTATTTTAGTACTACTTAACAAAAGAAGGGCAGCTCAACTGATAACATAGCCTACACTGGTAATGGATCAAAACCTGAAGGACCTCCATTAGTATAGGAGAGTAAGGTTTCCTTGCTTTGGCTACCAAATATTATTATTATACCAAATTCTTAGCAATTTGCCTTCTCCCTCTAGCTGTGTAATTTAATTTGTTTGGACTTTTTCCCAGCTTGCCCTTTTTCTGCATCATTAAAGCTGCATAATCTCAATAGGGAAGTGCAGCCAAGGAATAAAAATCTCAAGATATTTACAGAACCTAAAATCCCTAAATCTTTCCTTCATGACTTGGCTTATATTTCTATTCTTGGTGCTCTTTTCACTCCATTGTGACTTTTAGATGGGGACAGAGAAATAGCAAGAACTGATTTAGCAGATTACGGTTTAAGGTATGGGCACCAGAAAATTCCTGCCTATGACTCCTGTAATGAAGGCACCAAATTTTATATAATGAAGGCACTAACTTTGGTACACAGCCCAGTAGCCAACCAGGAATGACCAAACGTGTTTTGTACTTGGGGAGAAGCAGACTCCAAGTTAGGCATTCATAAGAGACGCTGTGTGTACTTGTAATGCACGCTGTTGCCCACTTTTATGTGAAATCACTATGCCCGGAAATTTTGACATGCATGTACCCTGCAGTTGCTATGTCTTGTGACCTTCCATAACCTTCTAAGCAAGGCTGGTGCGCTCTTATCATTTAGTCACAGATTATTGCTGAATTATGCCACAAAACACAATCACATTGACATTCACCTTAATTGTACTATTTCAGTGTCACTCCAATGTAAAATTTTTACAGTCCATAAACCAAAATATGTTCAAGCATACAATCCATTTATCCATGTTCATAAACGCTGCTGCTAGGAGAGAGGTACACCTGCTGCTTGCCTGCTACTCTATTTGACTCTGACATGAAACAAGACAGTCATTAACAAGCCAGAAGTAGGACAACAAAAAAACAGTGTACAGTCAAACATCTACTTATACAACATTGTACGTGGGGTCAAGTCAAAAGTTTAAAATTTTTTTTAAAGTATTGAAAATATGTAACATACTGCTCTTTAGGATCTGAGTTGGGGTGATGCTGTAAGTGAGACCTACTTTCTCATAGTACTTGATCTCGTAGTCCAGAATGGCTCCATGGGGAAAGTCCGGCTCTTGCCAGGAGAGGGCAATGCTGTTTTGGGAAGCCCAGTCCTTCCTTACCATACCTATCAAGGAGGGTGCTGAAAGGGAAAAGGATAACTAAGGGTTAAAGACGAAGCACACTCTTTATCCTTCCAACCTACTACCTTCCCATAGCAAGGCAAGGTACCTGTGAGTGACCTACAGGCAGAAAAGTGTGACAGATGGCAATTCTCAGGGAAACCATATAACCTGGAATTCTCAGGTACATACCAGCAACTCTTTGTTAAAGTGCAGACCAAATTCTGAAAAATGACTGTACAAAAATGGCACTGTCTCTCCCCGAAAGAAGAGCTCGCTCAAGGCAGCTGTTAACTGAAGGCTATGCGTTCCTCTGGTTTTAAACTCTCGTCAGTGTGGCAGGGAGCCTGGGTGCAGACGCCTGGTGCTCGAGGGGCTCGGGCAGCGGCCCCCGTTCTTCCCCGGCCTGCACCTGTGCCAGTCCCCAAACCTGCTGGCACGCAGCTAGGTTGCGCTGTCGCCTCTGAGGACACTGCGTCCCCAAGCGGAACCATGTTTAAGAGACAGTAAATTCTCAGTTCAGGATAATCTGCATTTAAATGCACGACTTTGTCATACACACTCTCTGGAATAAAATAAAGTGATGTAACTTAAAACTGATGCAACGAATTCTGTTTCAGCTAGCCAGGCTGGCAGTAGCAAGTGCGTTTTAGCAGGTCAGCGACGGAGCTGTGAACTTGTTAAAGGAGGCCAGTGGCAGAGAGCGAGCGATAAAGGCCACCTGCGGGGGCCAAGATGCCTGAAACCTACCTGTGGCTGGTGATACTGCTCGTCTGCAGCAGCACAGGGAGGAGCAGCTGCTGCTGGCAGCGCCTGGAAGGGGCCCAACATGGGTGGGCGCACCCAGGACCCAAACTGTCCCACTGTGGGGCTGATTTCAAGATTTTCTTCTCTTTTGGAAAAGCAGATGCCGTGTTATCTACGTAATAATTCCTCTTGGTGCAAAACTTCTAAGCCAGAACATGGTCTTTGCTTATTTTATTAATCCGGTCAAGTATGTGAAAGGAGGTCTAATATTCTCTAGACGCTAACACTGTTTTTATAGCACTGAGCTGCAGCTTTCCCAAATGCTACAGCAAAACCAGTCATATTGTTAGACAAGCTTGAAGACAATTGAATAAGCTGAATAAACCAGCTATCATATAGCATATCACTGGTTCTGCCCAACTTCCTGAGACTGATGAAGTCTCATTAAAAAAAAATTCCTCAAGTTGTTAATAGCTTTTCCTGTTTGTCTTTTCAATAACATACATCAGCTTATTCCACACCTCAGTCCTCTCCCAACTACGAATCTAACTTAACCTCTTCGAAGCTCCTAAGGAGCTGTCTCTCCTAAAAATAACACTTCCTTTTATTATCTCTTGAATAAAAGAGTCTCCCTAGGAAAATGAAATAAAAATCTGTTTCTAGTTACAAAATTTCAAGCCTTTTCTTCCTTTCCTGTAAATATTTCACAAAGCGTAGGAAATGAAAACAATAAACAAACTCCAGAGTACAAACTACTAAAGAAAATAGAATAGATTTCCTTCTGTTGAAAGAAAGCAAGCTCTACACACACGCTATCCCCTTCTCTGCGACAGTGCATCTACCCGAGAGAGAAAATAAACTTCTATACACTGCCACAACCTTCCAGTGAGTAACTATTCTGTGGTATAAAAGCCCGGTTGTCTCTGATGCAAAAAATGTCAGCAACCCAAAATGTAGCACTGAACAGGGTCACAAAATCTATCAAGAACGGTATTAAAACAGACAAAACAGAGCTTAACAGGAAACTGTCCTCTATACCTGTACTTATGCCATGTTAACTCTGATATATGGGAATGGAAGAAAAAAAGAAACCCTGTCATGCTGAATAAAGGATTAACTGGTTGTTGAGGAAGTTGTTTAAACAGCATAGTATAAATAACTATATATAAAAATAAATATAAATCGATAAATACAAAGTATTTGCATGTTCTTGGCCACAATGTTACTTCTAGGTCTGTATAAATACTCTGGTAGTTAAAATGAAACTCTTATACTTGAAAAGTGAAGATGAACCTGAGCTCTAGTAAAATTACTCTAGGGTAAAATCAACTACTCAGAGCAGGGAATAAAGGACTGCTTAAAGGAAAATGTAAGCTACCTAACACTGATTCACATTCGATAAACACTGATCAAGGGCCTGTGAGGGCAATTGCTCATACACATGTGCTTGCTATTTGTTGTTTTGCGTCACTCCCCGGTATCGCGATGTGATTTCCAGGTCGGGTCGGTAGCCCCCTTTCAGCACTGCCCGCTACACTACGTGCCCCTGCTCACGCGCGAAGGGCAGCAGCCGCACCAGCCCCTGGCACAGCACGCTTTCATCCTGCTGCACTGGTGGATTCACTAGTCAGTTAAGCAAATTCTTGTGAAATGATCGAGTTTCATTACAGAGAGTATCAGGTTGATCTGTGGATACGTTTATATTCCGGGCTCTCCTAGGCCTTTTAAATACAGATTACTGCTATTACACCTCTTTGGGTGCCTCTCAAATTACGACCTAACCTTAATAACTTTTTCAAATACTCAACAGGTGGTAGGTTTTTCTTTGAGTTCTGACTTTCAAATTTATATAGCAATTTATACATTTATATTTGGTTTCAGTCTGAGCTCACTGCAGTGAGCTCTTCTCCATTCGAGCAAGTGCATGTCAAAACAGAGTCTTGGCTCAACAGATGATCATCTCAAATGTGCAGTATCAGAAGCAGTCTATGCCTTCTCCCTCTGAAACAACCCAGTAGCAAAATATTGAAAGAAATTGAAAGAAAATTACTTCAGCCCTCTTGTTAACCACTTGTGCTTGACTTGCACCTGAAACTGAAAATCCCATACAGCAAGGCTCACATCACACCTACATCACAGTGCCAGCACTGCATCCTCTAAATCAAAATGCATGTGAAGGTGTGTACATAAGGCTGTGGATGAGAAGCATATTTTGTGCTTGTATTAAGAGTGTTGGGCAAAAAATAATGTGATTCCCTGAGGAAACGTACTTTGGAAAAAAAACCCCAAAAAACTAAGGAGCCATGTTACTCATTTCTTAGATGTTCAGGAGGATGACCCTGTCATTTGTCATACATAGGTGATCTATCTATCTCTTAGAGGAAAGGATGACTTAGAAAAAGAAAAGGATTCCCAACAGAAATGTACTGTATGAAGAAATGGACAAATAAAACCAACTAACTAAAAGCTGTAGCTAGCTCAGTTTCCATTTCTTTAGTTCTTGTGAAATGCTTCTAAAAGCAGTATTTTCTACAAAGAAACTTTAGCTTCTTGTAAGAGTTGCTCACTAGAGCAGAAGTCATTTAGACCCTAGGATCCTATCCATTACTGTTGAAGTTCTTTGTAACTGGGAAATTTTAAGATAAGTAAATCCTATTTGTCCATTTATGAAGACTGCTCTAATGTTGCTATGAGAAGTCAAAGGGAAGTTCTCTTAATTAGTCATTTCAAATCAAGTACCTGCAGGACAGCTTTGATTTGGTTACCCAGTGAAACAATTTGAAAAAAAAAAAATCCTTAGAAGCACCACGTGGCTTTTAATCACTTTAATGGCAGTATTTTCTTGCCATTGGTACTGGGCTGAAGAATGGTTTCGGGCTCTTGAGCTCAATACTGAGCTCTGGGTTGAACTGCGGATTCCTTGCGCCATCTGCTCTCTGTGGTTTCCTCCACTGTGTTATAAATTGCTGGAATAACGATGAGTCATCTGCAGTGCTGTGAGCTCCTCATTTAATTTAGTCTGATCAGTTTCTTTGTCTTTTCAAATTTGTGCTGGATAGTGAATGTTCATGCTTTAATTCAGAGTGAGGTTATTTTACTCAAAATCTCTTTGGTTTCTCTCTTTTTCAAAATCCCTTCCTCATATGCTACACAGAAGGCAGAAAATACACATTTTTAAAAGAAGGGTGAGTTCCAGTGTCATGTCTCCTGAGCCTTTCTCTCCTTCCTAGGTTCTGTTACCCGTAACCCTCTAATTACAACATAGATGATCTGTAGGATTTCCGAAGCTTTTTCCCTTTAATCCATTTTCTACTTTTCCAATTTCTTGTTTCATATTTTTTAAAGTAGGCAAAGACTTTCACAACATTTCTGCCCTGGCTTCTGGAGTTGAAACTCTGATACGTTACATATTCACCATGAAGAGGCTTTGGACAAAACCAGCAGCTGATGACAAAAGCTCCCCTGCTGTCCACGTACACTTGGATCACTCTAGCCCTACAGTATCTAATTTCAAATCTTGTTATCTCTTTGGTCAAGTTTTAACCTCTCACGAGATTAGCATTTCAGTGGCTTGCCAGAATGGGCCCTACCAGGAGTGAGTAATTACTGTCTTGTTAAAAAAATCCGCAGTCCAACGAAGATTAGCTGCCTCATTGCTGTCTCCCTCCCTCCGCACCCTCAGCACTATGTCTGTTCTGGCAAAGGCCACTAAGTGCCAGCAAATACAAATTTGGGGCGGTCGGTGGGAGGGGGGCTGAACTGTACGCTTGGCCTGGGGAGGACCCCTCTCGTCTCCTTTGGACGGCACCCTGACTGGATGGCTGAGGGCCTCCCTGTGCAGAATGCTGCCACTGGGAATAATGTGGTCTCCTGTAGTTAAGGGCTTCTACACCACTGCCGTTACCAGCGCAGCCTGAATTGCATAATTACGCACTGCTCTTCCCTCTGCCTGCCTCCAGGCACAGGAGAGACCATAGTCACTGAAATGCAGGGTTTTATTACGTGTTTCCTG